GAAGGCATTATAATTTATGAACCACAATTAAGACAATATTAAGAGAAAAGTTCATTTCAATCAATGCTTATGTCAAGAAATTAGTAAACAGGATGACTGCATATCTGAAACAGCTAGAAAAACAACAGCAACACCATCCCAAGATTAGTATAAAAATGAAAATATCAAATAAGGGATGAAATAAGCAAAATAGAGACCAAAAGAATAATACACAGATCAAAAATCAAAGGGCTGGTTCTTGCAGAAAACCAACAAAATTCATTCTCCAGTAGTATAACTAATCAAAAAAGGAGGGAGAAGATTCATATCAGTAGAATCAGAGAGAAAAAAGGAAATATAACCATGAGTAATTCTGAAACATATAGACTAATCATAAACTATTACAAGCAACTATATGCCATCAAGTCAGAAGAGCTAGGAGAAAAGGAGATACTTTCGAACACATAAAATCTACCAAAAATGGAAGGTGAGACAATAAGCTAAACAGACATATAACCAGGATGGAGACTGAATCAGTAATTAAATCCTGCCCAACAAAGAAAAGCCCTGGACCAGATGGCTTCACTGATGAATTCTACTAAACATTTCAAGAACACTGGTTCAAGCCTCCGCTGCTCCCTGCCAATGCACTTGGAAAAGCAGCATAAGGTGGCCCAAGTGCTTGAGCCCCTGCCATGCATTTGGGAGACCTGAATGGAATTTGGGATGCACGACTTTGTCCGGATCCAGTTCAGGCCATTGCAATCCTGGACTCTGGAAGTCTGAGAACCTTTAGAGCCAACTATATAGTTCCAGTCTACCAAATGAAATGTTACTTAATCCAAAATATGCAGAATGTCTGACCAAATATCAGGACACCCTGTGACCTGATCAAGTTGACACATAAAAGTTATCTTTACATTAATCTAGTCTTTATCACATATTCTTTCATAGCCCATAGAATTGTTTCTTCATCATTTGCCTTTTTCCTCCTATTCCCTTTCCCCATCCTAAATACCAGCCCTAATATTAAAAAGAAGCTGTTGAATGCCCAAGAATAGCAGTATTGGATCCATGGTGATTGTTTAATACATGTTTGTTGAATCAATGTGGTAGATTAAAACAGGAAAGAAAAAAATATGATGCGCACTTGCATATGAACTGACGAATCTTACGATTTTTCAAAGGAGTTAAAAGTGTCATGCCTTAACACCTAATACAGCCAAAACTGTGAATACTTTAACTTCCTTAATGAAAATAAATATGTCTATGGTATAGCATGTATACTAGGTACCTCTATAAATTCTGCACATAAATTAACTCAATATTTACAACAAATTTACAAAAAAAAAAAAACTGTGGAAAAATTCTCAATGGTTTCAAAGAGCATGCCCAAGGAGAAACCACCCTTCTTTAACAAAGTCATATATTGAGCCCTGATCTGACTTTTCTAGAATGGTAGCAAAAGGAATAGAAGGGAAGTCTTTATTCAAGAGGTGTGTTGCAAGAAGACAGACTCAGTGGTAGCTTAATGGAAACAAAAGCAGAGGGAAATGATAAATTTTTTCCTTTTACATCATACCTAGGCACTATATCCTGCATATGCTTAGTAGGTTGCTCAATGAAACCTACAGATTAGAAGCAACCAGAGAACTTAAGTAAAAGGAAACATTGTGGTTTGAGCTTCCTTGCCAATTCCCAAGTTCGAATTTATTTTTTTCAGCACTGCTATCACTTATATGTGTGTGTGTGTGTGTGTGTATATTCATTTTCAATGGTCTGTCATTTCATGGTCAGGATACCAGGCTGCTTCATGTATGACATATTCTGTATCAGTTTCTCCTGCACATAAAAAGTTATCCCAAAGTTGGCAGCGTATAACAAGACCCATTCATTAACATAGTTCTGTAACTCAGAGTGGGATGCTCCTTTGTGTTGTTTAGAGTTTACAAAATCCTCATGAAGCAGGCTGCCCTGCAGAAGAGATCTCTGTGGGAAAGCACTGACTTTTCCCTCTAGCCAACAATCAGAAGGGCCCTAAAAGCTTCAGTCTAATAGCCTGTTAGGAATTGAATTATGCCAACAAGCATAAGAATGTGAAGGCTAATCTACCACCATTTAACTTGAGCTGACACTCAGTAAACATCTTGACTGAAGTCTGTGAAAGACACCCACTAATGCCTAAATCCAGCGATGCTACACTCTGCACCCAAATCACTCATCCTCAAAACCTGAGTTAACAGGTGGATATTGTTTTAAGAAATTAAATTCTGGGGGAAATCTGTTATCAGTAACAGACAATGCATATGGTTCATACATGTTGTTAAATACGGCTCAAATTCATTGTTGTTATTTCATGGCAAACTTTAGAAAACTTTTTCTACAAAAGTTCATATGGAGATACTTAAGGCTTTGCAGGACAACAGGCAGAATTGATGGTATTAAGTAAATATATACACATAATTTTCATATGTCATGGAGTACCATACATCTTTTACCCTTCCAATTGTTTAAAATGAAAAAACAAACCACTTTGTTTGTAAATTATACAAAACAGATGGTGTGCCATTTCAACATGTTGGCCATAGTTTGTTTACCTCTGCTATATAGGATATTTTGGTTATGTCACATCACATTATGCAATCTTTTGGTGACACACATTTGGGTTGTTTTCAATCTGAGGCTATTAACATTATAGCCATGCATATTAGTCTGCAGGGATTTTTCAGAATATATGTAGATAAATATGCATATCTATTTGGTAGACACTAAGGTAGAATCACTGGATCATACACTAGGCATAATTTTAGATTAATATGTCAAATGGCTTTCCAGAGTGATTGTATTCATTTGTATCTAACCAGCAACATGTGAGCTCTTGCTGCCTCATAACCTTGCCAGGAGCTGGCATCTTCTCTCTTTACCATGACGATAACTGTCATATTTTCCTCTAAATGCTCCCAGATGATTCCCATATGCAGCTACAACTGAAAAACTCTGCTTAACCTCTGCTCATCTTTTCTTAGTGAAAATCAAATGAAATTGCTTCATCTATAAATTTAAAGACAGTCATCTACTGACTGTTTCATGTAGTTTAAACCAATACTTCTCTCACACCTCATGTATATTTATACTAAAAATGAAACTCAATTGGAATACATTCTATAGGGGAAGATATCAAAGATTTGAGCTAGAATGAAGGCTTGAATAAACAATGGATTACGATGAGTTTACATTTTATTGTCATCCCAATCTTCACGTCCTTTTAAACACACCATTGGTTTCATCCTTGCTGAAGATCAAAGCTTCTGGAGATTTTTAAATTTAAAAATTCTCCTATCCAATCCACCCAAATACTATATGTTTTAAACTGATGTGGGACTTAGGGTTACACATTTGCATCAGGCTGGTTCACATCCAAGGACGAGACCCCTGGATTGCCTTTCCCATGGCTCTTCCTTCCATGGATTAATTTTTAGGAAAGCCTGAATACTTTGATGATTTTTTATGTACAGGAGAAAAGAAAGCACCTGGATTTCAGTTCTCTCCAGGTGTTGGAGTGCATGGCATAATGGTTTGAAAAAGCTCTTCCCATGTGCAGCTCATTTTAAAGGCCTTCCTCTTGCCCTGTGGCCCAGCGTGTATGTGTGTCCCGGACCTAGGAAAAATATTATAGATTTAATTTGCACAAAATTTTATGGACTTAAAATATCACGGAGGGCATCTCATGGTTACACGTGGTACTTAAAAAAAAAAAATACCCATATGCAGCCATATTGCCTAATGGAAGGACTAAGTGACCAAAATAACTGGTGTGTATATACGGAAAATCAAAAATTTTCCTGATAACCAAGACCAAGTCTAAATAGTAGTCATTGGGGGAATGAAACAGATCTTTGTGCTTCCTTATTTTAGATTAGTCCCACCGAAGCATAGTTAGTTAACTGTGGGGTGGAGGGGAGAAGGAACAGCTTGGGCTGGTGGATGTGGTATCAGGAATTTCTTTAGAAGCCCTAACCCGTGCCAGACCCTCATCCATGCTCACCAATCAGTATTTGTATTCCTGAATAAGGAAATGGGGGCTTGGTGTTTGCAAACTTGATTTTTATCAATTGTGATCAGTTGTGGCATTCAATTCTACTCCCCTCACCTGGAGTTACTGCACAGCTTCAGAGGCTCGTAGATTCATTTTTGGCACTGTTAATCAGCAGGCCCTATCACAAGCCACAAACTGCCCTGCAGGCCAGGCAAGCTGAAATTGTGCAAGCCACCCAGGCTCTCATTACTGGACGACGCCGGAAGGAATCCTGGCTTAGGCTTTGTTGGTAATACATAAATAACCCTTTGTGGATGTGGCTCATGGAGGATTTTAAAATCATCTCCATCCCTGTCACCGCCAACCCCAGGACCCCAAGTATCTACCTGTTGAAACCATTCTGGAAGACAAGAAGGCTGGTGAATCACCTGGCGGGATTCCCCAGCAACTCCACTCAGCCCAAGCTGAAGAGCACCAAGCTTCGCCAGCACCTTATGAGGTAGGTCTCTGGCCCAGGTGAAGCACCAGAGAAATCAGTTGCTCTGATATCCTTATTCAGAACACGGCCCGGGGCCCAGAAAGCGGCTCAGGCGGTTCAGGCCAGCGGAAAGGCTCAGAATAGTGCGTCCTAACCCTGCTGCCTCCGGCATCCACACAGCCCCGGACAGGTGCGGAACCTTTTCCAGCTTGACAGCCAAGGTTTCAATCACGGGTCTTGGCTCTGAGAGCCAAGCGAAACCTGGCGCATGGCATACTGGGAGGTGTAGTCCAAGTCAACAGCCGGGTCCCCCCCAGGTTTCCCTGATGAGCCCCCAGGAAGGCTTGCTCGGTGTGAAGCAGCCGAAGCCTGCGCTCTCGTCCCCGTAGTGGAGACGGGACCGCGGCCCCAGAAGGGATTCGGGGCTCCGTCACGAGCCTGTTGAGAAGTGAAACTACATTTCCCAGAGCGCCGCGCGCCGAGCCCGGAGCCGGCAGCTCGCTTTGCGTGACCGCGGCAGGTTGGTCGTGGAGCAGATGAGCGCAGAATATTTAGGCGAAAGCGAGAGGCGGGGGGGCGCGCGGGGCAGGAGGAGTACTTCGGCCAAGAAAATTATGCATGCGTTAGGGAAGCTCTGAGAGAATGGCTGTGGAAGGTAAGGGACACTTGGGGCGTTTTAAGCTCCCTCTCACCCTGCGCACCCCAATCCACACATCTCCGTTTCAGCTCGGTGAGCTTGGGGAGGAGAGGCTAGAGGGTGGCGAAGAGAGGGCCCCTTCCTCCGACACCTCTGGTACTCACCTGAGCGCCGGAGGCCTGTGAGCGCTCTCTTCAGTTACTCTGGAGAGGCGTGTAGGTGCGCCGGACTTCGGGGTACAAGGTGACAGAATAGTGTCCCTGGTGCAAGACGTTAATGCTGGCAACGCGGGGAAAGCCGTGAAGTCCGGCTTGGGGCTGCAGCCCGAGGAGGCTTTGCTCCCAGCCCCCTGGCTCCGTGGAAGGTCGGGTGGCCAGCGGGCAGGGCATGCCCACTTGGCCCCCCTCCCACCTTGTAGAGGACCATGGCCCGGTGTGTCACAGGAGGCTCGAACTGCAATTGGGTCGAGGGTCTCCGGCCATGGGCACAGCACACTGGTTGTGTCCAGAGGGTGGAGGTGTCCCTGCGCCTCCCTGAGACAGCAAAAGTTTACAGAAAGTGAGCCGAATCAGCAGCCTCTGCTGGGGGAGAGTCCTTTTTGAAGACCACCCTCCTCTTTCCTTCATCCTTGGATTCAGACTGGTCTGAACTTCCGGGTTCCAAGCAGAGGCGGGCAGCTTTTCACCTTTGCCTTTCAGGTTCTTTCAGCATTCAGGCTGTCTTGTTGAGGATCATTTCAGGAAGAAGAGCTCTGTATGGATCAGAAGTCTTTGCCATGTCAGATTGTAGGCCTGGATGGTCTGAAGGATGAAATGAGCATGTGGCAAAGTGGTCACTTGCAGAATTAAAGTTCCCCAGGTTCAAGGCAGAGGAGGACCAACGTGAGAACAGAGCCTGCTTGCTAGCTGGTCAGGCTCCTTGCCAACGGGGAAAACAACCTTTCTAGACTGGAAAAGAGGTTAGAAAGGACATGCTTGCTTTCCCACCCCATTTGAACCCCAGGAGAGAGAGCAACTGAGTCCATCTGGCTTATGCTCGCCCTAAATATTACTGTGTTACCCTAACTCATCAGCAGTCCAACTCCAGCACTTGGTTCCAGTAAGTTTAGGGAACTTGCCTTTGGGCTGTCTCAGGTGTGGAGATTCGAGCTGGCCTCTTCAACTTTTCTCAGCTGTGTTACTATGACAGAAGTACGCTCTCTCAAGAGCAGATCCGGGTCTTCTTTCCTGAGCAAATGCACTAACAGAGTGAGAATCTTGCTTTTTGTGTTATTACAGCTGATAGGGAGTTAAGATTTCAGACACCAGCACGAAAACTTAAAAAAAAAGCTTGTCCATGTGGGTGAATTGACATCCTCGCACTGCCCTGCCTCACTGGTTAGATGGGCTGATTCTCGTCTCTCCCCCATCTTGAGCTCAGGGACGCCCACTGTGGCCAGTGCACAGTGATCTTTAATATGAAAAGCAGAGAGGAGAGGTTTCCAGTCTGCTGGTTTACTCCCCAAATACCAGCAACACTTGGGCCTAAGCCAGGAGCCAGACAATGGATTTGAGTTTCCCATATGGAGGTAGGAACTCCACCACCCGCTGCCTCGCTTTTGTATGTTGGTGGCAAGTTGGAATCAAAAGAGGGGTCCAGACTTGGATTCTTCCCTATGCAATGCCAGCATCCCAAGCATCATCTATCTGTTATACCCAATGCCCACCTTTCCACAGTGGTTTTGTGAATTTTCCTGCTCACTGAAAGAAGTAAAGAATTACTCATGTTTCCTGTCTTATGGGCAAGTAAGCCAGAACTTACAAAAATAGACTATAGAAGGAAATTCATGTGGATGACTGAGAGCTTATTTTCTAGTGACTTAATTGAGTAAAGTACCTTTCTAGTAAGTAGGTTCTGTGTTTGAATCACAGCGGAAGGTGAAGCAAGTATTTAAAACCTTTGCTTCACTGTGGCTCCTGTGTGTTGGTCTTTGTAAAGGCAGTTTCTCAATTCAGATTGGGGCTTTCTCAGCTGCTCATCCTTGGGTTTTTCAAGGCTCAAGGGGAGCTTTACTTCCTCTGGGAATCTGTCCCAGGTTCTCCTTTCATTTCTTTCTGCCTTCCCAGTGCTCCAACCCAGTCTGTTGGAGCCTTCTGCACTGAGCTACCCTAGCACTCATGGTACCTCTGTTGGAAAGCCTGTCACACTGAGGATCAAACCCCTTGGCTCAGGACTTGGACTGTGTAAACTCAGCTGATGGCAGTTACATGTCCCATAGTAGGTACTTAACAAATTTTTGTGGATTTCCTGGCCAATATATACTTACGGAGTTCTTCTAGTGGGTTCCTTATGAGTGGAAAGGGATTTCTTAGTACACCAAATGCAAGATAAGGGAGTTTTAGAGATATGAACAGGATGCAGCTTTTGGTCTGTCTTTGGATTGCATAATATTAGCATTCCTTTTGTTTCCTAGCTCATCTAGAGAAAAGTTAGTCCAAAAACTTGAGAGTCATCCATTTTTCTTTAGACAGACTGGGTTGATGGTCATACTTATTAATACTTTGTTTTCTAACAGAAGTGGGTTATAATATTATGCAAGGGAAGGTGAAAGTTGGAGTCCTCTATGAAAATACAGTGTCTGGCACTTAGGATGCCCACCGTAATTACTTACTTTATGAATGAATTATAAATGCCTGGTATTCCAGTATAAAAATAGGGTCTTATACCTTGTCCTGAATTCTTGTCCTCTTTGCTTCATTTTCAGAGCCCTACGAGTGTATGAACATTGTATATGGGTGTTTGTATTTCAGTTCTATCAGTGCAGAAGTGATTTTCAATGTTCAGCAGCAGGGAAGGAATTAATATGCAGTAGATACAGCCATTATTTGGGATGCCCATATCACATCTTGGGTTGCTAGTTCCAGTCCTGGGAGTCTGTACTTCAGATACAACTTCCTGCTAATGTGTCACAGGTGATGACCCCAATAGTTGAGTTTCTGCCACTCGTGGAACACTGAATAGAGTTCCTATCTTTGTTCTGGCCTAGCCCTGCCTGTTCTAGACATTTAGTGACTTACAGGGCAATTAAAGATTTTTTCTGTGTTTTTTTTTTCTCTTTGTCAAACTTTCTTTTAAATTAAAAAAAAAAAAGTTAAGAACGTTCTGTGCTAGTATTGCCACTCAAAAAGACTTCAAAGTGGAAACGTATGTGCTCAAAGTGATATCCACATTAGATGATCTGATTTATTTTGTTTTAGAGGAAAAATTAGCTTATCAAATGACCTCTGACAAATCACTCTATTCTCAGACTCTCCTATAAAAAGGTGAAAAAGAAAAACTTCCCATCACCCCAACCTTTTAAGGCTAATGATCACAATGGCTGTGGGAAATAAATGAGATAGAATAAAACGTTAGCAGCAGATAGCTCAGTAAATGATGACTCTGTACTTAAATCTAGAACTAAGACACAGAGTTCAGAGAGTCTCCATGGAGCATGAAAAATGTCATTTGTATCACAAGGCTGTAGAGCTTGTTTTCTCCTGGCATTTGGATGGGAAAGCAGGCTTGCTAATGTTACTCCCCAGGAGTGAATGTGCTTGTCACTGGAGTGTCTCCTGCTCTAACACTGACAGCCCACACAGCAGAGAGAATCAGCCTCCCACAGCAAGCAGGGGGATCCAGAGCCAGGCAGAGCCAAGCGCAGAGCCTTGCGCTTGATGTCTTTTTCCAGACATGCACTTCAGTGTTGACTTCTGGTTCCCTGAGTGGGGTCCTTCCCAAGGTAACAATAGAGACCTGGTGTGCAATTGGCTTCCCTCCACAGGTCACATGAATCAAGGGAGGAACTAGCTTCCTCCTATCATTGGATCACTCTTGCTTCAATCCCATTAACACTTTATCCTAAAAATTTCCTATGTCTCGTTGAGGACATTCATGTGCTACTTAGTGGCACTTTCTAGCAACAAGGGATGGGTGGTGGGCCTGGCCCATGAGTAGACTGTCCATGAAGCTTGGATGATTAAGATGAAAAAATTCATGAGGTGGGGCTATAGGTGCTTTTGATTTTCACAGTTGCTCCCATATACACATGAGTAGGTAGAAAAGCTGTGAGATAATCAACAAATTACCTGAAGACGCTTATCTCCATGGCAATATGATGTGTGGTTTATAACAAGCTGCTCCCCCGTTCTCTTCCATGTCTTTATCCCCAAGGATCAGTTTTACTTTTCTTTTTACTTTGTTCTCTAGGTCTGACTTGCTTGCCCCGACAGCTTTGGGTGATCACTCTGTATATTATTCCATGTGTATGTTGCTTAGGAGCCTCTCATAGAAAATTCCTGTCCAGTGACTGTGCCAACAAGAGAGGCTTCCCCTCCTAACTCTGAATTGCTGTGGTGCAGATTCTTGCCACACCCTTCCCAGCCAGACCAGGCAGGGCTATGGTCTAATGCCAGTGTTGAATTGTACAGCCCAGCCCTTTCTAACCCCTTTCTTTCCTCCCTTTCTTTCTCATCTGTCTTGCCATTCTCTTACACCAGAAGAAACAAGGGCTTGATGCTAAAAGGGGGAGGTGAGTGGAACCTTGGAGGCTGTCACTGTGTTTTGTGGTGCTGAGTCACAGTAGATACTGTGGCGACATGTTAGGAGAGGTATGCCTGGGAATAGGAAACCCATGCTTGAACTCCTAAAGTGAGTGCTAAAGTGAGTTCACAATATGTACATTTAATCCACGAGAAGTAAAAAGGAGTACTGCAAGTTCTCATAAGCTGTTTCCTTTTGTTCAGCATCAGGGCACTGCCCCTGTGCAAGGACCTCTCCTAGATCTGATGGAGAATCTGAGGAAGGGGACAAGGGAACTGAGCATACTGTTTCTGTCCTCTCCTTCTGCCCTACCCACTGCACTGTTCCTACCTCCAGCATCCATTAGGATGAAGGGGACAGAGAAATAATTAGGCTGAATTATATAAATACCAAATAAAGTACACACAACATAATGTGGGAGGTCTGAGAACAAATGGAGTATTTAGTTCCAAGCTGAA